TGTAGGCTTAAGTGTGGATTGGAAATGTTCCAAAGCCAGGTGCAGCATGTTGGACAGGCATGATGATACCTGGAACCATTACTGGGAGAAAATCGATTGACCATTACACCTGCAGTACAGCACCTAAATCCTGACTTTGTCTTTTTTATTATTTTTTTAAAGGCAGTTTTGGAGATATTACAATAGCATGTTTTTTTTCCAATAAATATCTAGGCGTGAGTATTGGCCAAAGGTCAGTACCCTTGAGAAAATATACATATTGCTGGTGGAAGAACACTTAATGCTAACATTTTGCTATCTTTTGATAAATAAATTAATACCACATTGTTAATTATTTATTTTTGTAACATAACAATTTGCCTGAAAATTGTTGGGTTTTTTTGGGCTCTGCTTAATTGTGATTTATTTATTTATTTTGTATTCATGCCTGAGACATTACTTGGATAAGCCTAGATGACTTTCTTCCCTCAGTAAAGCTGCTAACCATGAAACAACGATGACACTGATAACGATACAGCTTATCGTTACTTGGCCATCAGTTATGAATTATTTCTGCAGGGATAAACTTACATTCTGCTTCATGCTCGGTCACTTTCTAGTTTTCTATTCTTAGTTTCTTCCGTCACCATCCTCTTCCCTCTCTAGGCTTCAGACATTAAATCAAACAGTATCGAGACGGGCCAACTGTCCTGCTGTCAAACTTACATACAGCTAAGCAGATGACGAGGACGATCTGCAGATATGGATGGGGTAGATGCCTTTTTTTGTTTTAAAGTGGAAAAGTTACTTGTTTTCCTTTAGATGGTGTACCTGTTGATATAAGATGCCTCATGAAGGTTGTATTGGAAGCCCATAAGGATACTGGTTTTGGTATCGAAAAAAACAATATTGGCAATTAGGTGAAGTTTGTTTTGATTTTGTTACAGTTCCAACTGTCTCGCTGCTATGAGTTTTTGACCCTCCCAACTCCCAAGATGCTCTTCCTCCATCACATGAAGTGTAAGCTGTTGGTTTTAGCGGCAGCAGCATATGAATTCGACTCCATAAGAAGCTAAAGATATATTCTCACAGCCTGGGGCACAGGCAGGTGAACTGAGCTTGCCATATGGCTTAGAGGGAGCTTATTAGGCTCTGAGCAGAAAACACATTATCCACAGTGGACCAAGGCCACCGAGAGATGATTTCCATTATGAAAGCCTTTAATTCCTCTGCTGCAAGAGGAAGTAGGAGGGGAGAGGAGAAGATGGAAAAATGCTTCTGGAGGAGAGTTCCAGCCCGACTACCCGTCTCGTGCATAAGTTGCTAATGTCTGTGTTGTTGTGTGTTCCTCACTGGCATTGAGGATATGATTTGATTTATTTGGCAATAACTACATTATTTATCATACAATTGGACGACAATCTGACCTCACTGATTTTCTTTTTTTTACAATCTGCTGTATTTCCTTTCTGCTTCATCCAATCAACACTATAGGGATTTCTGTTTAGAATCGTTCATACTGAAGGTTGATGAGGAAACTCAAGGACTGCAAATGAATGAAACTAAACAAACGTTCAGTATTAAGAAAAGATTGGCAGGATGACATTTCTCAGTTATTCCTCCTGTATACAACATGGGGGAAACTTAATTGATTTGGTTCAGGTTCAGTTGATACAGTGGCTACCTTTAACAGTTTTCTGTAAAATTAAGACGAATTCTGAATAGTAGTGTACTGTTTTCAGTTGATTATTATAAAAATTAGGCCTTTAAGGAAAAAACCATAACAGCAGGCTGTTGTAAAAAATGGTATAATACAGTATTTTTGGTAGCTCAAGACTGACAATATGACCTAGAAGATGTTGCCTCATGTCTCGCCACCTCGACTAAAACACAGTCAACCTTAAGAAGGTGAAAAGTATAAAACAGTAACTAGAGATTTAATTTGACTATGATAGAGGAAAGATGAAGAAAAAATAAAGACCACTTTCTCTCATCTCTCGGGAAGAGGTGTCCTTTCTCATATCACCAACTTTGTCTTGTACTGTCTTTCACAGCACAAATTGGCCATGCTGCTCTTAACAATGTACGTGCAATCTATAATGAAAAGCTCACCTTTTATCATTTGTGTCATTTTGTGTCAGGTTGACTGTTAACGGTCAAAATGACTGTAAGTGTTCCTTGCTGTGTGTCAATATGTTCATTTGGGCAGATGTTAGTCAAAGCCTCCTCCAAGTTAGCTGCTGAATGGACACAATTGTATTTCCTCTCCTGAGCCATGCTGCCAGACACCTCATGATGTATTTAATTTCCATATGTAGAAATAGAATTTCTCAGCAAACAAGTCAACAAAGACAATACAGTCAGCAAATGTAGACTTGGTGTTTCATTTTGCTTTCATTTTGATAAGCTTGTAATAAACAAGACAAGGCTCTCTGTAATCATTTGTTGCTGGACAATTTCTAATAGAATATTTTTATGTTAAGTAAAATTAATCTTGAACTACAGCACCCTTACATCTTGGCACTGAACTGGTATCAGCCCTGCGAGGAGGGAGAGAAAGACGAACCAGGAGACAGAGGCGTCTAAGACAGAAAGCTGTGCAGCAAAAGAGCACTTTAAATCTTCAGATATAAACTATCTCTAAGCTAACTCTGGTACACTGCATGAAATGGCAACATTTGTGTTCAACATTGTACATGGTCCCTTTACCAATAAAACACTGTAAATAAATCAATTATTCCCCATTGTCTTTAGAGCTTTATTTTTTCCCACAACACATCTCTTCACAGAAATGTTAGACTGAATAGCCCACACTGTATCCAGGTGTTCCTGTTGTCATTTCAAGGTAACAAGAATGTGTTCTCTTCAGTATGCTTAGACAAGTAGTCTAAAATGTGCAGCTTTGTTTATTGCATTATATTCAACACGATTCATATCTCATAGAAGATGTACAACACAGTACAGTTATAGTTTACAGTAGTTAACCATCACTGTAGATTACAGAATATGTACAATGTATCATAGCATTAAGAGGCATGTAAATGTAGCTGCCTGTAGTTTACAGTCATTTAACAGGAACATTTGTGCAGTCGGTCATCTCGCTACTTAAAGGTGGGGGGGTTTCATCCCCAGCTCCTACAGTCACATGTCCAAGTGTACATGAACAACACAAACCCAAAATTGATTCCACGCTATTGACGAGTGGATAGATGGAGTAGTACAGTTGGATGGTTTGGCACTTTACGTTGCAGGACCTGCCCTCGGTGAATGTGTCATGTAGCGTAGTCAGAATATTAGAAAAGCATTATTAAAGTCTAAGTCCATTAACCATAACTAGCTAAATTACACTTATAAGGGATCTATTGTTCATCCAGGGACACTTTGAAAGTTCAGTAATCATTTGTAGAATTGCTAACAAAAAACACAGTAAATTAATGGTTACATATACAGAATGACCCGTTATTTATTTTGCCTTTCAACAAGGGACACTTGGCATTTCAACCACAAACACTGATGTAACATCATCCACCCAGACTGTGAATTGTTTGTTCTGTTGCAGAGCAGCATTACAAATCAGTTATTTATTGTCATTGTTTATGGTATTTATTATTGTTACACTCTTCAACACAATGAATCATAACCAATTTTCCCTTCTGTCAAATCTTATTGTAACTTCCTCATATATTGAAAATATCAATCTTGTGTAGATGGGTTTAAGAACCAACGTCATTCATATCAACCATGTGTACATACTGGCCCCTGGTGGTTTAAATGTGTAACTGCACCCAGAGGGAAATTCTATTGACTAACGTGAACCTGATGGATGGATGGATAGAAGGATGAATGAAAGGCGTGATGGATGGATGGATGGATGCACTTTACATGTAGAAAATGTGTAGGCCATACTTTGTTATTTATGCAGATCCTAAATTATCCAGTTAAAATAAATAAATATCTTTCTGTTTTTGAGTTCTTTTTTTGTGTTCCTCCTTATTTTAGGCAATAAAATGGCAAAATAAGCTACTAAGTGAAATCTTTTGATGCAATTTCCCATTTTTTTTCAGAGCAATAACATGCATCCTCATTTGGAATCTGCAGTTAAATTAAATCAAAATATTGAATTTTCCTCTGTAGCTGATCCAGCACTATCAGGATAATAACACAACAAATTAAGCAAGACCTTTAAAGGGTGACATTTCTTTTGCTTGGCTGCTTCACATTGTTAGTATGTAACTTACATTTTATGTCCAAAGAAGAAAAGATAGAATCAGCCAATTAAGAACCTAATTAGGAAGTGAGAGCTCTTTTAGTTTTGCATCCATGAGAAGAGTTAAGTTCTTCAATAGAACTGTGATAAAGAGTCAGCTCCTGGTGGAGAAAAGTCAGCTATTGTTAACCTGAGTAACAATAATGCCTTTTTGGTGTTAAAATATGACCCTGATATCAACTTTACAACAAGAAAATGGTATTTTGTTTTCTTTTTATGCATAAAACACAGTTTCCCCATCAGACATTGTTGACTTGTCAGAAGCTAAAATAAAGCTTTGACTGACAGTGCTTGTGCTTGAATTGAGAGTATCTCAGGATATGGGTTTTCTAACATTACTGGAGGAATTTATTGTTTGAGATCTCTGAGCTGAGAGGCACATCTCTGGGAGTGTGTATCACTTGTTTGTGTAACCTGTGGATGTGAAGAGCTCTCAGGAGCTGCATCAGTGAGCACATTTAAGCTCCTCAGCTTTGCATTCCACAGAAACACTTCATCACAACACAATGCACCAGACATGAGCCTTTTTTTTTTTTACTCCTGAAACCTCCTGTGATGCATCCAGAAACTCATAAAGACAGAGACATCACTCCTCAGTGCAAAACTAAACATCACACTGGCGGCATATGAATGAAAGGGAGAGACATAGAAAATGACAACATTTTAAATATGCCTCTGGCAGTGATAACTGAGAAGTCAGAGCTGTAAACAAAGCTTTCAACCAAAAAGTAACATAATGCTACAGAATCAAAACCAAGGTGAGGCCTATTTTATTCAGTTTTTGTATATTATGCTGTTATGGAGCCTGGGAAAGATTCCTCTAAAAATATATTTCAGTATCCCTCTCATCACTGCTGTTGTCTTGTTGTCAGAGCAGAACGGTTCATCATCCTCTTCTCACTGCTTTTTCTCAAGGTTACTGATGAATAGAACCAGACAGGGTCAGCTGGGAGACGTATTCATACAAGTTCTTTTTATGTCAAATCTTTCATCGCTGGTGCGAGGAGCAAAGATTTCCAGAGGAGCAGCAGGGCACAAACAGAAAGGCCTGCTGATGCAACAAAGATGAGACTGACATAAAGACCATGAGAGAGGCAGCAGGCTGATAGAAAGCATGAGCGAAACCAGCCTGCTTGAAGCTAATAGAGCTACATGCGTTGATGGCAAACATCAACCTAAAATGTTATTTTACTCATTGCATTTTTATTTTCAAAAGATTTTGCTTTCACTTTTTTCTCCATCTTTTACAATGACTTGTGTCAATTATAGAGCTTGTGCTTTAAATAAGATTATTGTTTAACTATTCTTTTAGTGCTTTTAACAAAAATATTGATGAAGTTAAAACACAAAAGTTGCTTATCAAGAAAAGACAGGTTTAACTTTAAAATGATGTAACATGAGCTCCCTTTGAAAATACAAGATAATCCATTTACACTTAGAACAAGACCATCTGCATTATTTTCATCTAAAAATAAGATTATTATACTTGGTAATAAGATCTATAGTTTATACAGTGGATCTCTTTGTGCATCATTCAGATGCAGTGTGAGGCTTAATGTACTGAAACTGTGAACTTTTTAAAAAGTGACTGAGTGAACAGGATATTAAAAAAGCTAAGATTAAACCATGAAAGAGTGCACTGGTTCATGACAACAGTTTTTGCATGATTGCTTTCCTGTCTGTGGTGAAGCAGCTGCAGACTGTGAATGGAAACTGTAGGAGAAATAGGCAACTGCTGTGATATGAAGACAACACAATAAGACTAGATCTAAACACTTCAAAGGACCGTTATTTGTGCGGTTTTAAAGGTGGAATTTGAACAAGATAGAAGTGTGATGAAGTGTTTAGACTTGCACTTGTAATCAAAGCTACTGACCTTCTTTACATAGCAGCTTCTTCCTCTGATATCACACTCAGGCTTCAGCTGGAGTATGATCAAGTCCTGCTGTGTCGTTATGTTGTACATTTTTTAATGCATTGAATCTAACAAATCATTATTATTTCACCATCTCCTGGTTAGTAAACAATTGAATAGGCAATTGATTTGTTTTAAATGTCTTTAAAAATGTATGTACTTTATTAATGCCTGAGAGAAATTCTGGTTTACGCTCTGTTATTGAGACACATGCTTCTCACACTTATAGGTCCGAATCACACGCACAAACAGGACCTGTGGACATGTACTGGTGGAGAGATGTCAGAGTGGGGCTCCTACAAGCTGTGATTCTGTGTCTTGCTCAAGGGCACCTCGGCAGTGCCCTGGCACCTCTCCAGCTACCAGACCAACTGCCATAATATGGTCCACATCAGGACTTGAACCGGTGACCCTCTGGTCCACAACCCAAGTCCCTAAGGACTGAGTTACTGCCGCCCAGAAGCAAAGATACTGAGGGACATTTTGCCGAACTTGATGTTAAAACAATACAAAATATCTTTCAAATAATAATATCAATAAAAAAAACTGCCATCAGGCCAAAGCTAATGTTGGCATTCAGCCACTTCATGGCTACTATTATTGAAGGACTGGAATGCTTACATTATGTTTTGATTGTGTTGTGCACTCAATCGTTGAGTACTGGGTGCTGAAGGTGTTGAATCGTTGAGTGCTGGGTGCTGAAGGTGTTGAATCGTTGAGTGCTGGGTGCTGAAGGTGTTGAATCGTTGAGTATTGGGTGCTGAAGGTGTTGAATCGTTGAGTATTGGGTGCTGAAGATGTTGAATCGTTGAGTATTGGGTGCTGAAGGTGTTGAATCGTTGAGTACTGAGTGCTGAAGGTGTTGAATCGTTGAGTACTGGGTGCTGAAGGTGTTGAATCGTTGAGTACTGGGTGCTGAAGGTGTTGAATCGTTGAGTACTGGGTGCTGAAGGTGTTGAATCGTTGAGTAGTGGGTGCTGAAGGTGTTGAATCGTTGAGTATTGGGTGCTGGACAATAAATACAAAGGCAACAGTAAGACTGAGTACACACACCAGAAGCTGCTCCAGATCACATTTCATGAAATACATCACCACATATGACGTCACAGGCCCTGGTCCTTCATCAGACATGATGCCGAGCGAGGAGGCTTCTGGTGTACGGACTAGTCTACCTACACTAATGAATCCATACTTTGCTAACAGTAATGTTAGCGTAAGTGATTGAATGCTAACACAATGCTGTTTGATAGTGACAAATGATTTTTCATGAAATCGTTGTTTTAGAAAGGTCAAGTGGTTTATGCCGTTCCTATCATACATTATAACACTATCTTCTAATATGTTCCTGTCTTACCTCAGGCCCTGTAGTAAGTCATGTAGCCTTCTCATTTTTGGGGGGAACAGACCCAAAAAGATCTTGTAATATTAGATTTGTTTTATTACCGCCTTTTTATTTAATAAAAGGTACCACGAGAGCAGGAAAACTACACATAGACAGAAGCATTTGTCTCAAAACAATCCTGATTGCGTTTAAGCAGCACTGTTTATAACATACTGTATATTTTCTCTCAGTAGGTGAGAGACACCACAGTACGAACACCAGCCAACTCTTCTTTCACCAAAGGCAGATTACACCACCTTTGGCAGGTTTTATATGCACTATAAAGCGTCTTGTCAATAGGCCTATTTTATAATATATTATAATTGTACACTGTTATTGTTACCACATGTGCACAAAGGTCTGTCTGAATATTTTAAAATCCCTAGGAGTCTTGAATCCAAATTTTCTGTATGTTATTTTTTGTAATCGTCTTATTTTGAAATGCGACTCTATGAGTCTGAATGTTTTTGTTGTTGAAACTGTGTCTTGCTGCTATTCTTGGTCAGGTCTGACTTGGAAAAGAGATCTCTGATCTCAATGGGACTTACCAGAATAAATAATGGTGAAATAAGAAATGAATACAAATAAAAAGGTAAACATGAACAAGGAGTTTAGATAAAGTACTGGATATATACAGGGGACTGACCGCAAGGATTATGTAGGAATGCAAATGTCGAATGTGAAATAGGTCTATATGTATTTTACACAAAATTACTATAAGCTAAACAAAAAGTATGAATCTTGTTCTGATAAACCACGAACTGTATCCCGACAATCACAACTTGCCTTTAAAACAACAGTAGAAGTGTCTTCTGTAAGACTATGACTTTGTTTGAATGTGTTTACTTGTTAATTTGATCATTGTCTAAAGTCACATCATGTCCATGTTTTCCTCTAGGTGGCAGAAAACCGCAGAAAACACCTTAGAGAAATGTTACTTCCTGTAGCCTAATAATGTTCAGTTTTTCACGGTCTATTCTAAATATAGGCGCACTTGAATGGACTCAGACTCAATTATTGCTTATTCTGTGTATATATCATGGATTAAACTAATATTGACATCTCATGCGATAAATAAATAAATGTTTGAAACCTTTCCGCTGTTGACGTTTCTTTCTTTTTTATGCGGATTTGTTGAGTTTTCTGAATCATCCGGAATATCCACTGAAAAAACACGCGTTAAATAATGTGCCCGACATATAAAAGGATAAGTTTTCACAGTTTTTTAATATACGCCACAAGGGTCAAAGTTGAACAGTTCGCCACTTAAAATGGCGGATGAACCAACACGGGAGTGGAGCGATGAGCAGCTCAAAAATGACGATTTCCCCAAAAAAGACATCATAAAGTTCATTCAGGACAATGCAGCACATTCGGTTTGTTTATCACCTTTGACTCTCGGGTTTCATTCTTTGATTTGTTGATGCATAAAGTGTAAATGCTCTGTGACTCGCAGCATGCAGCATGGTTAGCTTATGGAGCCACATCAGGAAGGATGTTGTGCTGTAGCATCGTGTTAGACGCAGTGTACCACAACACACTCAATAATACACACACATGTATTACACTGTTCACATATAACACACAGCTCGTTACGTCATACGACACCAGGACAAATAGACTTATGTGCCTGTCGGGTGTTTTTTTTTTTTTTTTGTAATTTTGTAATTGAAGAACCGTAACCTGCCATCTATGTTAAAGAGTATTAAGACTTTGGTTAAATACATTTCTTACCTTCAAACTTGTCTGTCTTCCGTTTCAGTTCCTCAATGAACACAAGCTGCTGGGAAACATCAAAAATGTTGCCAAAACAGCGAAGAAAGAGCAACTGATCATCGCCTACAATCAGCTGTTTGAGTGCAAAGTAAGTGTTGATAATGAGTGTTTAAACATTACACCTGTGTGGTTTGGATGACCCAACAACTAATATGTGTGATTCATGATTTATTGCTCATTTGCAGAAATTCAAAGGCACCGAGGTTGAAGTTGTTACTGAGCAGATGAAAGCTGTGAAAGTGGAAGAGAAAACCAAAGAGGCCAAGACAGAAGTTGTAGATGAGGTGCCTGGCCAGAATTTAAATTCATCGTGTTTCTTCGTTGTCAGTCATCGCTCTGCACATATTACACATAATACAGCTGTTAAAGAGCTGATCCTCTGTTGTTTTCTGTAGGGTCCACCCAAGTACAAAAAGGCAGTGCTGAAGAAAGGTGACAAAGAAAACTTTCCAAAGAAAGGAGAGGTTGTGGGCTGCTGGTACACGGGCTCCTTGGAGGATGGAACCGTCTTCGACACAAATATTCCCACAAGTATGTCAGAAAAAGTGCAACTCCACCAGAAACGGTGGGGAGCACCATGGTCGTTTATACTGATTGAAATCATTACCAAGGGCTTAAACTCTCATCTGTTGTCTCTCTGCAGCTGCAAGAAAGAAGAAGCAAACGAAGCCACTTACCTTTAAAGTTGGCTTGGGCAGAGTCATCAGAGGAGTGAGTGATTCTGATTCTTTCACACTGGACTCTACATTTCTGTCAGTTTGAAAATGCGACACATCTCTTACCTACGCATCATCGTTTGCAAATCTCTTCTTTTACAGTGGGACGAGGCCCTTCTAACAATGAGTAAGGGTGAAACCGCTCGGCTGGAGATTGAGCCAGAGTGGGCCTACGGAAGAAAGGGTCTCCCTGATTCCAAGTATCCTTCTCTTAAGCTGTTTTTTTTTTTTTTTTTACTGTGCGTGTCCTGTAATTATTTGAATGTTAATATGTTTAATAGTCTGCTTTGATTTTTTTTAAAAGAAGGCTTTCATTCTGCATCAGCTGTTGTTTATTCTTAACTCCGGTTCTACCAGGATCCCTCCCAATGCGAAGCTGATCTTTGAGGTGGAGCTGGTGTCGGTGGATTAACTGAGGAGATTTTTTGGCCCGCATGCACTACATTTCCCAGGACAGGGAATTAAATACCTGCTGGTGTAGTGGTTAAATTTAAAATGATTGGATTGCACCGTTCTGTTTCTGCTTTGTCTCGATTCAAGGAACGGCCAGCGTTTTAAGTTTTGGCTTGTCAATAATGTAAATATGAGACACCCTGAAACCTTAATGTCTGTATTGTTTTGTTCTTTTGCATGTATGATGTAAATGAGAAATAAACCCGTTTCAGAGACGAGGGACTGATTATTTATTTTCTGCTCTATTGATGAAACCACTTCTTCTCCATGTACTTGTTGGTTGCTGTTGATCAGTCTTATTTTCATGTTAACTGTATAACATTGTGTTTAGGTTCTGGTAGTGAACAGTGTAGTTAAACATTTTATCAGAACACTTAATCAAACACAACTAATTGCTGCTATTCTAAATGTTGCTGGTAAGACCCTGAAAAGTCAGATTTCTGCCCATGGATATGATCTTCAATTAAATCACTGCTGCAGAAGTGCCACACAAATCCAGACTTATGTTTTACTGATAAAAACAGAAAAAGCAAAATGTCAACAATATACAAAATAGATTAATCAAAAGCAAGTCTAAACAAATGGGTCTTGAGTTGCTTTTTAAAAGAGTCAACAGTACCTACAAATCTTAAACCCAAAAGCAGAGAATTCCAAAAACTTAGGGCTACAACCTCAAGCACAGTCTCCCTTTGTCTTCTGTCTGGTGTGAGGGACTACCAGCAAGAGCTGATCTGAAGACCTGAGAGATGTGCTGGGAGTATAAGGCCGTAAAAATTCAGTGATAAAGGCCGGTACCTGTCCATGGGGCTTTGAAAGTAAGACATTTAAAGTAGGTACAGAGACACTGATAGCCTAGCAGTTAGATTGGGTATGTCAGAATGGTTTTTCATTACTAAGTACATTTATTTTAACAAGGAATTTGACTTGATGTTTTGGTGCAAAAAAATTAGCAACAAAATAGCAAGATATTTGAAGGCTATAGACAGCCCTGGTTCAAGTCCTACGGCTCATTTCCCACATATCATTCTTGACTCCAGCCATTAGCACATTTATAAAAAGGCAAAAGCCCTCAAACAAATTTGGTACAACTCAAAATTACAATTTAATGTCTTGAGCAAATGAAATGAAATAAGTAAAGCTACAAAACTGTATACAAGTCAGAACTAGAAGGTGGAAATTTAAGAGCTCCCTCTAAGAGGTTTTGTCATAAAGCCTTGCAACTACTCTCACTCCCAAAAACATTAAACTCCCCTCAAGAAATCCCTAAAAACTAACATTGCCTACAACCACTGACTCTCATCCTCTTTCCTTTACTTTTTATTTGTACTTCTTTGTTTTTCCTTGTTAAAGTGTCTTGAGTATTTAGATAAGCGCTATACAAGTCTAATTTATTATTATTATTATTATTATTATTACTCTGCCCAACAAGACCTCTCAAAAGAAAGACACGCCTCACAAAACAGACTTTTTTTGTCCAAGCCAAACAGTTTATTCTGTACAGAAGGATAACATTGAACTTGGTAGAAACTGATGAGGGGTGACCATGTTTCTCCTTTCAGGCATTAAAGCACTTAGGAGTTGGCATTGGGTCCCTTCTTCTTTCCGAAGGTGGGCACAACGTTCACAAAGCGCCTGTTGTACTGGATGCGACGCTTAGCGCGGCCAGTCTTCTTCTTTTCTTCTCCTGCTTGTCACCTTTAAAAAAAAAAAAAGAAGAAGAAGAATGGGCATCGGTCATTTTTCAGAGTCTAGATAGATGGGTGAATAGTTAATGTTGACTGGGACTGAGGGTAACAGAAAAAGCATAATATATTCTTACCTTGGGGGTCTGTCCCCTGACTTTACCGGCACGAGCCAGGGAGCCGTGAACCTTTCCTAAGGGGGGGGTGAAGGGAACCGGTTAATTCGGAAATGATCTTAACAAACCAAGCTTCCTACAAATGGCTATGAAATTCCCAACGGGGAAAGACTGGATGAAAACAAAGTCAGTGGTGTGTTCATTTACAGTGATACATGTCCACATAATGGCTTGTGCCAAAGAGGAGGTGGTCTGCATCATCAGGGCTGGACACAAACAGCCAGCAACATCAGACAAGACAGATGTTTCATGTTATTCTTTGTACAGATGTGTATGGGATCAAAATGGAGCACTGGCTTAACATCTGATAAAGAGTGTATACACAGCTGTAGTGAAGGAGCAACAAAATAACCTTAATTTGAAACAAGACTAGACAAATATAATTCGTAATGTAGCATTTAGATATTTAACTTATCAATTTTCATTTTTTACTTAAAAAAAAAAAAATAGTGTTGACTCTGAATACTGACCTCCCAGCAGCCTGCCAGCTACCTCCAGGGTGCAGAGCTCTGAAACGCCACAGGATGCCAGGGAGGCATCATCCTCCAGAGGGCACCCAGCAAGCAACAGCACCTGATCCTCAACCAGGAGACCCTCCAGATCCTGGACATGGGCCTGAGACACAGAGGGATGAGAATTGTTTATCCAAACTCACTTCCACGTTAAATCAAATGTTGTTATAAAAAAATGACAATCTTTTTTTTCTCCATTATGAACTCTCCTTTGGGATGATGAAGGTTTTGGTGTATTGTCATCGACTTGTAAAAGTTTTACCTTGATCTGTCCGACGGTCTCCTGTCCGGTCACCTCAAGGGTGTGAGTACTCTGGGCACGCAAGAAGAGCTGCATTTTGTTGCTGGAAGATAAAACAGAAGAGGGACAATCGAGTCAGTCGTTGTCATTTAACCTACTGCGGAAATCAACTTTTGACGTAGTTTTATTTCCAGGCGGCAAACATTGGAAACTCTCTCAAGTCTAAAATTATTACATAACTTAATGTGGAGAAAATAAAAATTCACTTTGTCAAAGCACATGCGGTTTAATAAATTACGAGAAGGGGCCAACGAAACGTGCCGGGAACAGAAACAGACATGTCTCTCTTGGTAGCTTGCTAATGCTATGCTAACATAACTAGCCGCATGGGGCACACGATACATAAAGTCGCTCTTAAACTCATTTAACTGGACGATGTGGTGAAAAAGAGGTTTACCATGAGATAAACTATTACATAAGGGATATACTCGCTAACAGAAATCTGTCTAGGTTTTACATAAAACATGTATTTTTTACCTAAATTGCTCAGGCCTTACCTCGTTGATGCTAGTCGTTCAACGCTAGGCATAAAAAGGACTGAATGAGGGAAGTCACTGCGCATGTGCGGATTTACGTAATGCGTTTACGCTCGTGGCCACGCCCATTATACCTTGGGAGTGTCGAGCTGAGGGATCAAGTGATGTTTTTTATGATTGTACAATCGCGAACACATCAGTATAATTGCTCTGATAGATCAATAATGTCATTATAAACACACTGTCGTTCCAGCAGACGTAGGTTTAAGGTGTAGCTGCTATTTTCATGTATGAATTGAATTTTATTTTATTTATATAAATGATTTAGCTCCCAGGTTTTCAGGTTAAAAGTAGTCTTAACTAAAAAATCTTCGCTAGTAGCCATTAGTTGTCATAATTTAAAATTCACTGGACAACATGTGGAAAATGTGTTACATACAAAAGAATCTTAATTGTAATATGTGATTATGTATTGATGGCTCAATCATTTCAACAATCCTTAAATAAATGTAGGTTTCAAAAGTATGAGGCAAAAACATACAAATTTAGGATATCAATCTCTTTATTATGAAATCAAGTCAAAATAAAAAAAAAAAAAAAAAGGAGGAACTCTTCATTTTCTTTATGGAAACGTAACCAGGAAATATTAAAAATCTTTCAGTTTTGGGCAGGAGAAACACACAACTTAAGAGGTACATCTATGAATGCCTCCTTTACAAGTTTAAATTCTTTAACGCAAAGAGAGAGCTCAAACTGAGTCATCCAATCTAAAAGACAAAAAGCCTTTATCACACGGGGGAAATAAATCTGCCTTCACAGTTAACATGCATAAACAATCCAAAACAGCAGCCAGTGTTGGAGATGATGGATGAGCAATTCAATTGTTTGTTTTTTTTAAACATGACTAATCAACATGACTGCCATGAGGCCCAAGTGTGCTAGTTTCCAAATAATGGCTACAAGGTGTTCTATATCCGATAAGCACACATTAAACCATAAAGAAGGGACAAATCCATTTCTTTTTTCTCGTTGACAGCCTGTTGAGTAGCCATGTTCATAGAGTAGGCAGGTCAGAAAGGATGCTTGTCTCCGAGTCTCCATCTTCGTGTCAGGATTTTGTCCATTATGTTGGAGGAGGGGGGTAGTACTGGTTATACTGGGGGTACTGGTTGTACTGTCCCCAGTTGTTTTGTCCCCAACCGCTGTACTGTTGCTAAAAGAAAAGAGAGAAAACCAAACCGCTGAAATTTTTCACAGGCTCAAACAAAAACATTTCTTAAATTGGTAGTTTTGTTTTATTACCTATTTTAAATAGTTTTATTCTAAACAAATAGAATTGCTGTGAAAAGCCTCACATGCTTGTTGTGACATCAAGTGCAAGAAATATTTTTTTGAGCTATTAACTCGTCAGATAAGAAACCCACCTGGTACCAGTTGTAGTTGTATGCAGAGTTGTTTGCCTGTGTGTCTGTCGCTGCGGTTGCTGCACCCGTGGCGCTATCTTCCACGCGCTGTCTCTTGGTGTCAGGTTCAGTGGAGCTGTAGACCAACAGTTTTAAGTTAATACAATTCTTTGTTACGTCCTAGAGTTTGGGTGGTGCACCCTGGGAAAAAACACTATATTTCGTGACGTTTTAGATGTTGAGCTAGAGTTAAACATCCATTACATATTTGCCATTCGCAGGAAATGTATATGACCAACTCCAAGACACTTTAGAAGGAGTGTTGATAGTTAAAGTGGGTGTTACTTCAAAATTTGTGGAAATAAATATGTGTTGATGTGACCCAAGCCCTGTTCCGTTATCCACCTGTCATATCCGTTCTCGGCCTTCCTCTTCGTGGGTTCACTTTCTTTCTGTAGTTTCTGATGTTCCTCATATGCAGCCACAAGTCTAAGAGATAAAAGTATAAAACATTTACCGAATATGAAACCTGACAAAGGGAATAAATGCATAACAAGCATTCCTGCCTCTTAAAGTAACACAACACTCACACATTAATGTCACTGCCAAAGTCCTCGAGGAACTCCACTTTGCGCTGGCTGAAGAGGAGGCGGGATTCAAGGGGCATCGGGCTCTGCAGGGCACGGTCAAAACAAGCCAAGATCTCTGCCTCATTTTGCGTCACGTCTCCGCTGTACTCCAACTCAAGCAGGTTCAGATACAGCTTTGGACTCGTCTGTAAAGCAAAAAATAAAAATGCCATTCTAAAAACAAATACAAAACACGCATTTTGAGAAAAGTGTTTACTTTTAACTGCAAACATTAAACTGGTTCATACTTTGAAAACCATGTACTTTAACTTCTCTGTGCAGAACTTAAAAGAAACCTAACATAATAACTGTCCTAATTTCCAGACAGGGACTTGTTTACAAAAAAAAAACAAAAAAAACTGTAAATGTTGCAACACTTAAACACCTGTTTTTTCCCCAGGCAGAACTACATTAGAATAATTCTTTGAAAATATATAGAAAGAGAACCAGAAACACAGAAGAGAAGACACTGTCCTGGATGACTCAGAATATATGGTGCAACCGGTAATTCAGGACAGAGGTGACTCAATAATATTGTAGGGTGTGTCTGTAGAACCATAACCTTCTCCTGAAAGATACAGAGGGCTTTGTCACCTATAAACAATAATGGCAGGTTTATGATTTAGTTGTTTCACTACATGGGGTTAGTTTTCATTCAAGTAAACATGTACTCAATGCTAACTTCTAGGATTTTATATGGTGGCTGACTTTAATGGATGTCTATGTCAGGTAAGGTTTTTCAGCCTGCTCTCACCTGGTCTTTTTCAATAGCATCCAGAAGCACCTTCCTGGCCTTGCTTAGACTTCTCTGCACCTTCATCTGCAGCCTGGCCAACTTCACAGCATAAAATGAGGTCTCAGTAGAATTCTTCGCAGACTCCATCGCCTCCAGTAACAGGGCCTCTGCTCCATCCAAGTTTCCATGGCGTCGCTCAAGGCTGACCCGCCGAAGACGCACCATAGCCAGACCAGGTACTGCCGCTTCCAGGGACTTCAGGATATCACGAGCTTCGTCTACGTTGCCTGGGGGGGGGGGAGAAACCATACTCAATCAGCATGTCCTTTCTAAAATATTATGCATCACAACTACACCACCCCAAGATGATTGACTGTCACCCACCTTGCTGCTCCTCAAATGCTGCCCACAACAGGTGGATGGATGGTTTCTTGGGCAGATGGACGGTGCACGCCTTCTTGTAGACATGTCTCACGCCGTCAGTGCTGTAGCCCTCTAGATATTTTGCATACTTCAGAGTGAAAAAGAGAAAGCGAGTTGGAAGAGATGCAGGAGAGGATAGAGGAGAAAAAGAACAGAGGAGAAAGAGAAAGGCAAAAGAGACAAGGCATTTTAAACCTAAAATTTCAGTAGGCAGAAGCAGTGAATTTCTTCATTGACAAGATCGTTTTTAGAAATTTTCTGTGTAAACCCATCAGCACCTTCATGGAACCAATTAGATAAGTTTCTGTAAGGTAGTGGGAGACGAAGAAGATGCAACGTAGTAGTTGGCAAATGCTGCAGTCAAATCTTGTGTGGCAAGCTGGCCATCCCCTAATACAACAGATACAGTCAAATATCAACGTTACACGCAAAGAGAGTGCAGGACGATTTACTGTGTCGTTGTGATATCATCGTTGTTGGGGAAGTGCAGGGAGATAGCAGGAGTGAAAGAGAGGTTAAAGCTCACGGTACCTTGGTCCAGAACTCCTCGTAGAGTGCACAGGCAATGAGGCAGCGTTCAAAAAGCACAACCACGCGCTCTGGGGTCCCGTTTTCGATTTCAAAGTCCAGGTACTCCTTCCAGTTGTTCAGCTGGGTCTTCTCTAAGGCTTTGACGTGGAAGTATGGTCTTTTGATCTATACATTTTTAAAAAGCATACATAATTATTTGTTTTACAGTGGAAAGAATACAAAAATAAATGTTCTATTTCCAAAAACCTTTATGAGACAAAAAAACAGACACGCACCCCTTCTTCAAATGTCCAGCGCTTGCTGACTTCATGTTCGTTGTGATTGAAAACCTCTTGCCGCACTTCAATCACCTTGTGGCGCATATTCTCGATCTCTGTCACTCTCTACACAAAGACACACAAAGAAAACACTTGGTTAACAGTCACGTACGCATCACTTTCTCCACTTAATGTCAAAACTTCTGGTCCTGCAGCTGAGGATTTACATCACCATGAGCTCGCCAGATACAAGAAGCCTGTGGGGAGAGGGAGTATGTTTGCACCCTGCATTTCAGCCTCTGGGTGCAGGTGCTGGGGTCAACAGCCAGCGTTGTTATAGGGCGAATCCCTGACTGGATGCCAACTTGAATCCCCCCTGGTATTCACTGGCTTGGCTGCTGACATGAAGAAACCTATTCAAACCTGAGCAAAGCTATCTTTTCACCTCATCATGGAGAATAGGAAGCTCCTGTGACCCCCTGAAAACTGTACTTTTTGTAAATGTGTCTCTCCTACAGGATAAGTAGTTTTTTACCTTTGCAGGGTCAGGAAGATCCTCGGTTCCAGGCGGCAGATCCTCCTGAGGAACAGGGGTCTCACTTTCTTCACTGATCATCGGTGTCAGACTGGCTTTAGAGAGCTCAAGTCTCAGTTGAACAAATTCATCTTCTGACAGGAAATGTTTGGGGTTGTTGTTCTGCACATGATCTTTGAACCTGTGACAAATGTAACATTCCATTATTAGAAAGTTTAAAAGATATTACATGCAGGTCTCATTTCAATAACATCTTAAGACAGGTAAAAAATAGTCTCTTTTGTGTTGATAGAAAGAGAGCTCTAACAAATCAATGCTACAATCATTTTATATTCAAACAATCTCAACTATACAGCACATGTCTTGGGAGTATAACAGAGGACACAACTTGAGATTTTATTCTGTTTTCCAAATTACCTCTGGAAGTGCTGAGAATACAGCTGAGTTGGGATGCCCAAGATGCGGTCATAGATGGCGGTGACATTAGCCAGCTTCTCCTGCTCTGTCTCCCAGGTGATGAAGGACTCCCACAAACGGTCTGAGCGGAAGTCTGTGCCTGCTGCGAGCACTGCGTGCTCATAGGCACTATGGTAGCAAAAAAAAAAATTGATTGTGAATTTATAAGCAACTGTTTTTCTTTTTGACACTATGTAATATTGTGTTAAATATTTCTGGGGAGTTAAAACATATGAAGGAAGGAAGAAGGGGGGGAAATAATTCTAAAAAACAAAATGACATTTACTCACGCTCGAATGCGTCCCTCAGTGTCAGGGTCAGCAGGGTCTGAGTTCTCTTTGATGAAGGTCAGGTAATGCAGCCACAGGTCCACACTGAGAGGGATGACCTGCAAACCTCGTCTGTACACCTAGGAGTTGTACAAATAAATTCAATTAAACATAAATTAGAAGCCTGTCCATGGGTCAAACTTTTTCACTGCGTTCATCAAAGTTGCTCTCTCTGTCGCTTTGCCTTATTCTCTTTGATTGTTACTGTTGCACTCACTAAGAATGGAGGCTTAGGAACAATCGCATGGTTTGACTCTGTGCATGATACATCATCAGATGTAGAAAAGGAACAATGACAGCACAGTGAAGCTGGTGAGCAGCCAGATGTTTGCTAAGACTGAGCAGTCTTACATGAAAGCAAAAATTTGTGTCCAGAAATAATATGCTTACCTCCTCTGCAACTTGTATATTGCCATGCTTTTTCTCAATATCTGCATACTTCTTCCAGTAGCCATAGCAGTAGGGATAGCGCAGGAAGAATACATCAAATGCCTTCTTCACAGCTGCAAGGATGTTCTGCAAAAGAAAAGTACCAGGAAAGATTGGTCACTTTTAGTACAACTAACTGTTATTGCGTATTTCATGGTTTCTAATAATGTGGGGGGAAAAAAAGGAAAAAAAGCTTGACCTCTTTCAGTTCACATTTTATAATATACAGTTTACAATTGATTTGCTTTTCTTAATCTTACCTCTTGCTCCACTTGCTGCAGCAGGTAGACCCATCCATTGAAGTCTTCTGGGTTCTCCTCGCACCCCTTAAAAAGCTTTTCAAACTCACTCGGCAGGTCTGGTTCTGCAGGAACAGTTGTTTCCTCTGCTGTGTCCTTTGGTTGTTCCTCCAGCTCCATGCCATCCTCCGTCACGTGTTGCGTCTCTGTGGCATCTGGAGAAATGATTAATTATTTACAAAAAGCCTCAAGTGGAGGAGCAAAAAAGGATTTGCTCCTAAATGTGTTAACAGGGCTAATTAATAGGACAAGATGGGATTTTAGTGTTACATTTTAACCAGAGTTGTTTGGCAGTTTTTATTTTATTATATAATATATATTGGAATTATGGTACCAACCGGCAAGCTATACTGAATATTTACCTTGAACAGCAGCTTCTGGTTCTAAACTCATTTCAACACTGCCTGGCTGATCCTCCACAGACTCTGCTTTGTGTGCTGGCTCCTCTGTAGGTTGCGGTGGAGGAGGAGGAGGAGGAGGTGGTGGCTGCTCCTCTTGGAAGAGCTGAGCACTGGCCAGCTGAAATTGCTCCACAGCTTTCTCAACAGCACCCAGTCCTGTAGTCATCATCTGCTGGTCTGGTAACTGCTCAGGAGCATCCTGGGACGCATCGGAATCCTCGGGCAAAATGCTGGTAAGAGGTTCAGGAGCAACCTGGTCCAAGGACCAGACAGCAGCTTCACCTAGAGCAGGAAGGTCAGGAAGAAAGGCATCCCCGTTGCTCTCCATGGCAGGGGACTCAGCGTCCAGCATTCCAGTTCTTGTGTCCTCTGAGAGTTGTGGGCCTGATAAAAAAACAGGTCAAGTTATCATTGGAGATATAAAAAAAATAGTTCATATACATGGCACGTTTGTTTAGAGAATCAGAAATACTTTATTAATCCGTGGGGGGAGGTTTTTTTTTTTGGGGGGGGGGGATTTAATATTCAATTGATCCAATCTATAATTGGAAATTATAAATTAAGCAAGATACTAACCATGTGACTAATCAAAAGTAGAAAATTCAAGCGGTCTTCTAACAGGCTACTACAGGGGGACAAGAAAAGCTTCTCTTTTACAATACTGGTTGTGTGAATATTTAAATGTCCACTTCATCACAATCGAGCACTCGTCTCGATGAGCCATACTGTCCTACTCTATGTTAATTAACCAAAAGATCTTTTCCCATCAGCAGCGAAGTTTTCCAAAACTCGCGCTGAAATGTGTTATATTGGTAACAGCCTTAAAAATCAAGGTAATAACTTGGTAATCCTGACAAAAAAGTTTGGCATTGTTTACTAGATGTGGGTACTATTGGTCGTTCAAACCTTAACTTTTAATGGAAGCATCTCTCTACTAAAAAAAAAGGTCACCCCAGTAGCAGCTAGTGCTACAGTTCACTTCCTTGTACAAACATTAAAACGACGCCAGCTTTCGCTTAACCCCGTGTGTTGACCTGCTAAAAATAATGCATCCACGTGATACGTTTCTTAATTTAATAACACTAAGTCGTCGCTTAAAGTGATCCCAGGTTGTTAATACATTCCACTAAAAATCGATTGTTGTGTTGCCTGGTTTACACATGTTGGAGCAGCAAGGTTGTTTGCACAGTCAAAGTTCATTCTGAAGTTGGGCCTTGACTCCATCTATTTCCTGGTAAGTAACACGGCCCTAAAGTAAGCTGAGGCTGCTAGCTCAACATTAGCGCTCATTTCAGTGAACACAGAACCTAAAATGTGTGTTTACTTAATCAACAGCACTTTCCCTTTAAGTTCAGATAAAATTATACGTCAATAAAGTACACTTAACTGTAAATTACAGCCTTGAAACCTGAGTCGACAAGCACAACCACAACGTGCTAAGCGTTTGCATCCACGTCCAGGTGATAGTCGGTACCATCGGCTGTTCAGCGTTAGCTAGCTGGCTAACATTGGCAATTATACATGGTACAATTGCTACAACAAATGGCGATTGAACACAATATTAAAGAATAAAGACAAGTTTCGTGACCTTACCAGTATTTTCCATGAAATGTAAGTCCACCTTGGGAACTCGTTTGAAGCTTTCGAAGTCACTAACCTACTACAATCAGCCGCGTTTCGCCCACTATTCTTCACTTGGAGCCGAGGCAGAGTGTGCGCACTGCGCATGCTCAGCTTTGGGCCCGCCTTCCTGTGCGCGCGCTCGTTGTTGTACGTGTTGTACAGACAGACCTATTACTTTTTTTTTTTTACGGTATTGGTGACACATTCTTGAAGCTTTTTTACAACGTGATCACGAGATTATAGATGCAAAACTAAACTAAAAAAATGGGGAAATATTTGGTTTAGTCAAGAGCAGAACAGCCTATTTAATAATTTACACTTCAATGTAGGATTCAGAGATTATTAATGTAGTGAGGGATTTGTTGGCTGTTGTGCGTTCACTTCCTAAGTTTTATATTTTTTATATTTCAACTTAAAGAAAGTTAATAGAAAGTTGCACTGGATATCAGCATTTAACTTAAGTTATGTGTGCCTTCTCTGACCAGAAATATCCTGTCAGGGGGGTGGGGGTTACATGAGTGATAAGCATTTTGTTTTTCTCCCCAAAGTGGGCTATATTTGTGGACCTGCATGTTGTTAAACAGTTGTCGATTACAGCAGGAACTGATGAATCAACCGGCCTCATGGGCTGATATAACTTTATGTGAATAGGCAACAGGTGGAAGGCCTATATATTATTATTATTATTATTATTATTTTAATAATATGTTTTGCTATAAATGTTGTGAAAACGTGTTACCATTTTTTTTATCAACCCCAAATGCACCTGATTAGGCTTGACAAGACATAATAATAATTTAAGACAGTGTTTAGCTATTCAAAAAACAAATCAGTCAACATGACTATTTGTTGTCAATGTTGTAACCCTGCCTTATAGCAGTATCTGTGTCAGCCGGAAATAAATGGAACAATAGGCCTAATAGACAGTGCAAAAATATGGCATTGTCTTCACACAGTGAATCATTCGAAACTGTAAAAGCACAGTTTTCAGTTAAATATTAGCTTAAAACACCAACATAGTGGAGTTACTAAATCTTGAAGGTCACTACATTGTAATCATATCATAGCCTACATTTAAATTTCCTCTTAAAGGCTTTTTTATAAGGCTTAGCCTGCAAGTCCTTCATTTGTTATGATTTATAGGCTATATTTAGTTAATGATGTTATTAATCAGTTTTAAGATGGTGTCAAGTAATAAGCTGCTTTTAACAATGAGAAAATGTAGTTCCTGCTGCCCTGCCCACTCACAACCTCCACGTCACACACTGATCATATGAACCGTTTTGAATGAATGACAAAACCTGTAAGAGAGAAACACCTGAAAACCCTCTTAATAGTCCCAACAGGTCTGTCTCACTTATTAATAAGTAGCCTTTATGTTATTCTTATAGAAGATTAAGAGTTAAAGGGCGATTAAATACATAAAGAAAGCTTAAATGGCGTCAACATGGGATAATGGATCAGTCTGCAGTTCCAGTTTTTTTTGTAAAAGCGCGCATGCGAAATGGCGCGTGCGGCGTTCAGGTACAGTCCGAATGTTTTTAAATTTTACATTTGGCCTATTTGTTCGCCATGGCACGTGGTTTGGGTGTAGCCATGATTTAAGATGACGTTAAGTAGTGGATATATCAATTGATTATGTTTCATTACTCTAAAACCCACAGGTAGCATATAGGCTAGCTACTATAATAAGTGCACTCAATCATGTGGATTCAACTCCATACTGCGAGAAATATGTAGATTTACCAAGTAGATGTGATAACCTGAAGTTACATGTGTTATAATAACAATGTTAATCAAAAATAACTTCTGACAAAATAAAAATTAAATTATCAACTTCACACCAGACGTCTTGCGAAGGCTTGGGCTTCACTCCTATCTTTCTGCAAGTACACCACTTGAAAAATTGACAGAAAAACCATAACTGTCATTAGATATGATTTCAATTTTGCTTAATCGATTGGTGTACATTAGTATATTATGTCTAATTTTCCAATCAGGCTCCTGCTATCTTTGAAGATAAGAAGATTGCCTAATGAAGTCCTCAGAAACTCAAAGGTATCAATAAATTACAGCCCCGACATTACATCTGTAGAAGGGCTGCAGTTTTTATGTGACGCACATGTCAACTTTAAAAAGGGTTAAAAAAAATGTAGCCCAATGTTTTAAATAGATAAAGCCTTGTTATTAAAAACACTAGATTCGAATAAATCTATGATTGTCAGATAGGCAAGTATAATCCAAATTACTATTAAAATTAGAGAGGCTAAATAAACCTCAGTTTAAAAAATGGTAATGTATGGTAAAGTAATTAAATAAAACTCCAGGCCTCTCACAGACAGATTGATATTTGTTTGATCCTCAGATGACGGAGCTCACGAGTTGCCCCTGAACGCAGCACTAGTGTGTGAGAGCTGTGTAGAGGAAGTGGCGGCTGATCTGGGTCCGCACCTTTTCCGGTAACACAGCACTGCCACCGCTGTGACTGAACGACTGGAGAGAGAGAGAGAGAGAGAGAGAGGAAGAGAGAGAGAGAGAGAGAGGGAGGAAGAGAGCCAGAGAGCGGCAAGAGCGGGGAGAAACGGCCCGGCGACAGGAGGATGATTGCCGCAGACGAAGGTACGTATCCCGCTCTGTAGCCTCTTGGTTTCTGTGTAGCGTTTCTTCCCGCGAAGAGAGTGTTATTAGGGTCCGAAGTTGTCCTCTGTTTTCTAACACCCCTCCCTTCTCTGGACCGCTCTTGTGTCACAGGGAAAAGAGAAGAAAGTCGGATGAATCAATGACCTTTTTGAAGAGCTCTTTCTCTGGAAGTCCCGGCGCAGAAACGGGCCGGACAGGCGCACATTTGAAGAAGAATAACCCTGCGCTTTGAAATTCATCGACTGGAATCGGTTAAGGGCAAGTGTGGACAGCCCGGCAGCCAAGGAGGAAGTGGGAACCCCGGGCTTGGACAGGGCCTGATTTGTACAGTAAAAAATAATAATAATAATAAAGCAGCAGAACGGAGACATCAAGAGTCTTGTAGGGGGGATAGCGCTGATAAAAATGTGGATTTCGAAGGAACTTTGAAATAAGGGGATTTCATCTTTTTTTTTTGCTTTCTACACCGGAGGGCAGTGGATCATGAAAATATATCCCCACCCAATTCAGCGAGGGCTCCACACACACTGCTCCCACTGAAAGCTCACTCTCTCAGGTCACATCATTTTTGGTACTGCATCTAATTGTAGCGATCTGTTAACGAACTGTACAAACTTGAAAAAAAAAAAAAAACCCAACATTTGACACTTGTATGAGCCCGCTTCTGCCATCACGTGGAGCACTTTCACTATAACTTCCCTTTCCCATTGACTTCTGCTCTCTTGAGAGACGCCTCATTTTCCTTCCAACAAAGTATTTATGTACAGAAAACAAGATGGGGAAGATGCTGTCAAAGATCTTTGGCAACAAGGAGATGAGAATATTGATGCTTGGACTTGATGCTGCTGGTAAAACAACCATCTTATACAAGCTGAAGCTGGGACAGTCAGTCACCACCATCCCCACGGTTGGATTTAACGTGGAGACGGTCACCTATAAGAATGTGAAGTTCAATGTGTGGGACGTAGGCGGCCAGGACAAGATCAGGCCACTCTGGAGACATTACTACACAGGCACCCAGGGCCTGATTTTCGTGGTGGACTGTGCCGACAGGGACAGGATTGACGAGGCTAGGCAGGAGCTTCACCGGATCATCAACGACCGGGAGATGAACGACACCATCATCCTCATCTTCGCCAACAAACAGGACCTTCCCGACGCCATGAAGCCCCACGAGATCCAGGAGAAGCTGGGCCTGACCCGGATCAGGGATAGGAATTGGTACGTTCAGCCCTCGTGTGCAACATCAGGGGATGGACTCTACGAGGGCCTCACCTGGCTTACCTCAAATTACAAATATTAATGTTTCCTGTCACCAGCTTGGACTTTTGGAGGCAAAAAAAAAAAGTAGCTGAGAATGAAATCAAGAGTTAAAAAAAAAAAAAAGCAATCTGAAGCAATTAACACCATGACCTCTCTGCTGAGTGGATATGGAAGAGAGTTGCGATTATATTTTCTTTATTTTCCTTTTGATATCACTATAATCACAAATTTCATTTAAACAGAATACTAGTATTTTTTAGCTGGCTTTCTTTTTTTTCTAGATTGCTTCTGATCACATTCTGTGTGTAATCAGTTCTCCTTAAAAATACAATAATTAATTTTAGTGCAAATTCTTTTGCTTTCTTACTTTTATTTTTGTAATATTTCCTTAAGGACTTATGGACATGCACGTCTGGTTCCATTCAGTATTCTCACAACCCAGCTACATATCCAAAGGATGGCGAAGTCCAGAAAAAGCATTGCCTACATCAGCATATCACTTTGGTGGTACAAACTGCCTCTGTACTTTCTAAGAATGTGTGTTCTGGATGTGTTAGCACCTCCATTAAATAACTGTTTTCATAATTGATTGTACTGGAGTGAATGAGGAAACGTGTCGGTGCTTCTTCCCTGTGCAGTGATTACATCCATCATGTCTGCTGTGGTGGTTTGTTAAAAAGACACTATGAGGACGCTGGATATTCACACACTGTGATATGGATATATACTTTTTGTTGTTTCAGGGTCTCCGTCTGTTACCACCAGTCTTATTATCACCTTTTTTGCCCTCTCTGAGCTTCCATTACTCTTGACTATTTCTAGTTTCAGCTGCCTTAAAGGAGGTTACAGGTGCCCAAAAAACTCAAGACAGCTACTACAGCTGAAGGTATGTTTCACTGCTGAGTTTGCACGTTGGGAGGGGAAGAGGGGGGTGGGGTCACCAGCTAGCTGTGTGTGCACATTTTGACTGACTTTCGGACCCCAGCAAATGTTCAAAAAAAATTCCCAACCCCCCCAGCTCCAATGTAGGTGCGTATTCTTATGTTTTGCTTTCTTTCTTTCTTCTTTTTTTAAATCTAAATCATCTTCAGGTTCTGACACCCTGCACATACCAGCTTTCTGTCAATAGTTTTCTGCTGTTTTGTTTTTGTTCCATTTTTTTTGCTATGCTGATGAAATAAAAAAAAATATATCC